TTTTTCAATTTCTTTTTTACTCAAACTTCTAGTATGTCGAAACATTTGTAAAAATTAATAACATTTGTTCCTATACAATCCACGTAATTTAAAAATTATAATAAACTTAAGTATATTATAACTTACCGAAGTTTAGAAGAGAAAAATAAAGTAAGAAAAAAAATTTAATTTAAAGTTACGTATAATTATATAAATGCAGACAATATCTGCGTGGTGGTTATTGCAGTTGACCACCGAAAATGACGATATTACACACGATGTAAAGCAAATAAGTCGATTAGACTGAAAGATAGACTACTATGAAAGGGAAATAAAGATATTCATAATACACAGATAACATGATAATGAATATTTTGGGAAAATCAACACAAATTAAATTCGACCAATATATTTTTAGAAAATTCAACGTAACTAAAATGTATTTAATATTAATTAATATTGACAAATCCCATGCCATCTGGTGGTATATGAACTAATCAGCTATGGTGGTCAGCAACAACGACCATGAAATGAGAAAAAAAGAAAAAATAATTTCTACATGGTTAGCTCCACTAACCACCATGCAATAAGCAGAAAAATTAAGTGGTCATCTGTACTAGCCACCATGCCGGAAAGAGTTAAGGATTTTATCGACTCGATTAATGCGGTTCATTCTTCCGAACAATTTTCCAGATTTACGAAACAAAATCGTCAATATTATTGGTTTTAAATGATCAGTGACAAGGAACTATTGGGTAATTATAAGTCATGCTTTGAAACATGCATACAAATCATCAGCAAAAACGTTTCGCGTTCAATTACACAGTTACGGTGACCGATAATTGTTTATTTTATTTATTACATTTTTTCTAAACCTTTTAATACCATGACGGTATTACCTACTACATTTGCGTGTTTACTAACCAGCACATACTGGTGTAGTTGAAATTATTGCCAAAGTGTTCAACATAGATAGTTGGTAACTAATACAAGGTAGTACTTAGTACTCAACTTGTGGGGGGACGCAGAGGGACGGGTAGGAGTAACCTACTAATTTTCAGAAATGGTAGCGTCCCCCTACTATTATTACGTTATAATTATAACGCTTAACAAGTTTTGGGGACGCTATTTTTTTTTCAACAGAGTCCTAATTCTTTATATATTGATGATAATGGGAAATTAAAATACACTATATAGGTACTATTATTATACTATTTAATATTAAACTGTTGAGTATGTAGAAATTTCAATGGGGGGGGGATCCGGACCCGACCCCCCACCCTTGGGTATGCCCTTGATTGGGGCCCCAGCCCTTCTTTATTTGTGCTATTGCAGTTAGGCATATATTGACGTAAAGAAATATTGAAATAATCGTTTTCAATCCGTTTTTCAATACACAAAACCATTCCAGCCTTTAACATGTAGGTATTTTCAATGATTAAATATACAACCAGTATTAAACTAATGGTATTATCTGTTCATCAATGGATGTCCAGCAATATACATTACATTATGCCACATAGCTAGATAATTATATTAACATTATACAACCAAACTATTTTACTAAACACAATGTATCAAGTGTACATTTCTTTTTTTTGTGTTCATTGATATATGAAAATGAAATGTATCTAGGAATCTAGGAACTACATATACTCTTCATTATCATGATATAATATTCAAAATACTTTTGCTTAAAATTTGATCCTTTTATTTTTTGTTTTCATACACTATAGAAACGTGTATACATATAATTCTTACTTTTTCACCATAGAACATTTGGATAAAAAGTAGTTTAACACACATGATAAATAAATTTATATCTTTAATTTTATGCCAACATGTTGTTTGATTGTTTTAACTCCTAAACAAGACTTTAACACTCTACATTACGACATAATTAAGTTATTGCTACAATGTCAGCGATAAATTATTATATAAGTTTCATAAAAAGTACTGAACATTACACTTTCCACAATGAAACGTGCATGTGCACACTATACAATGCACTAGAATGTGAACAATGTTTTAATATGAAATCTTTAAGAAAATATATATATTATTGTGAACAAACTATGCAAAATATTAGTGATAATAGTTCATTTTTCAAATTAATACTCACTATGAATGTTTTTAAATAAAACTATAAATAAAATATTAAAAACCTTTGATAGCAAGATCAAGAACCATGAAATCTGATTATGATTTCACAGATATTGAATGATGATTTGATTCCTTATAACTAGGGAACAAATTTATATGTAAATGCATATTTTTATTAAAACGAGATATTTAAGATTCAATAAGAAATGTTTACGATTTAAATCATTCCTATTAAAACGATGATACTTTTATTTTACATATTTTTACATATTTTGGTATAATTACATATTTTTACATATTTCACTAATTTTTAAATATTTTTAAACATATTTTTATTATTTTATCATTCATACGTCTTCTTCGTACGAAAATACAAGAAATTATTTCAAAATTAGATCCAGAAACTTCTATCGCTATTGGAAAAGCTCAAAATATTATGCTAAATGAAACATTGAAAATAATTTAATTTTAATTAAAAATAATTTAACAAAATTATTAATTAAAAATATGTCCCCAAATGATAGTATGCAAATTGTTGAATCAGCGATTAAAACTCGTAAGTGGACCAATAAATGTTGTAAAAAAGAAAATTCATGCTGTTACAGAAAAAATTCCAGGCATTATTGATTTTGGAATTATCGCCTTCTGATAGTACGCACTTGAAATATACTTTTAATACATCAGTTGATATGAAACGATAATTTAGCCGCTTTAAAAATATTTTGATACCTAATAGGTGACATTTAACATTTGATAATTTAAAAGATATTGTAATAATTCAATGCAACAAATCATTTTGATAATTTAATAATAATAATCACTTTTTTTTTCCCACGTATTTGGATGTTTTTAGCACATATTTTATAAATTATACTTACATATATATGTAAATATTTCTGTATTTTTATTACATATAAATCCGTTCCCTACTTATAACATAGCTCAAACTTTATTCAGTTAAGCATTGTACTAAAAATTTAAAAAACAATTTAAATTATAAAAATATATTAACATTAAAAACTGCAGTTTATTGAAACAAAACTGAATTATTTCTAATAAATCAAGTTGAAATTCATCAAATTTAAATTAAAATTAAAAAGGCTTAAACTTTCTACTCTGTTTCAGTAACTCAATCTTTGACTTGTCATTATTAAACTTGTTACGTAACTCCATCAATTCTGAAAATTATATATATACAAATATATAAATATATTTAAATAATTAAATTTCTGTGAATAAAATTGGAAATTAAATTCTTACGATTAATTTTGGTCTCTTTAATTTGGAATCTATAAAAGTTTTTCAATATTTTCTTACTCCTTTTCTTGGATTCTTTTTTCAGAATATTATTCTTAATTGCTTCTTTACGTGCAAATCCAGGATTTCTTCCTCTAAAAAGTTGTACAAAATAAATTATAATTGGATTCAATACAATTCTACATAGTTACAATTCAAAAGTAAAGAAAACAATATTGACTTTTATCGCCAAATAATTTACTTTGTTTTTGAAGGTAATTGTTTCTTTGTAATAAACAAAAATTAAGCAAATTTTTATAGTGATAACAATTATAAAATATTTCATGAATATATTTTTCATTTAATTTAGTGACACAGCAAACAAAATGTGAACATTATTATCAATTTGACTCGCCCTTATTGGTGGGGTGATACTTGAAAAATTCTTGTCTATTAGTAATGTTATAAGATAGCTATTTTGAAATGTTAATTACTGATTCTTTCAATTTTTATGAATATTAAATCAATATTATAATTTTTTGTCTTATAATAATTATTACCGTGGACAAATAAGAGGGGAATACTACTTTTAGCAATTATTCTGAGCAACAAATAAATTAATATAATCATTGAATCAGTCATAATATAGTTATTATAGTGTTATACCTTCATAATAATGTAATCACATTATATATTTATTTTTTTTTATAATTTTATTTATTCAATCTGTTCAAAGTGAACAATAAGAACAATTGAGAACATAGTATAAGAGAGTAAGTAAAAAGAGAAAAATAAAAAAAAAATAAAATAATTAAAAATAAAAGTGATAGTGTAATGACAGAGCGTAGAAACATATTAAATTATAATAATAACAGTATACTTTTTGGTAACTGTTTTCCATCCATCTTCATCTTCATCATCAACTGTTTCTTTTTCAACTTGTATTCTTTCTGCTGAAGTTTTGTCATACTCTGCCATATAAGTATTAATTTCAGATTGTAATTCGTTTATGTCAACAATACTGTTATTGTAATTTTCACACCATCCTAAAAAAAAAAAAAAAAAAATAGCAATCTACAAATTTTGAAAAATATTTCATAAATTAGAATGAATGTGATATTTTACGTTGAACTATATTTGTGACAGGAGAAGCTTGTGTTGATAATATGAAAGGTTTACTTTCTGTATATTTCATTGACAATGCTTTTTCTAAACCAGATGTATGTGCAAATACAATATAAGCCACTTTGAAACCCTAAATTTATAATATAAAATTAATACTTAGTTTAAACTTGTACTGCAATCACTCATACTTTAACCGGTTCTGGAAGAAAATATTTGGAGGATATAACTTCTGGTTCAATAGGTGTAGGTTCTTTGTGGAAGAATACAGATTTGACTTTTCCACAACAACGAAATGCATTTGTCAAAATTTTCTTAAATAAAACAAACAAAAAGTATAATCAAAATAAAGTAGATTTTTAGGTAAAGGAGTCAATACCTAAGAACAAGAAGTGACTTTAATATTAGATATGATTAGATCAAATAAGTATTATTATATTCTACATTAAATATTTTCATAACATGATTAAAATAAAATCAATACTATTATTTGTTTCAAAAAAAAAAAAACAGCTTTATGATTTATCTGTACACTATAAAAATCAATGTAATAAATTGAAATTGAAACCGTTATGGATTTTATAGCTTGAAGTAATTTTAGTGGTAAAAATAAATATATTCATTGGTAAGTATATTTTATTTATAAAGTAATTGATTATAAAGAACACACTTTTAGCACGGTAACTTGTTAACACAGTTTAAAATGTAAATTTACTTGATTGCAGAACTCAGGAACACCAACCACAAAAAGTGTTTGATACTCAGGCTTTTGAGGACATTTTTCCCTGGTAACGTGCATTTTCAAAAACAAGTGACGGATAGCCGTGGACTTTTCATTGACTTTTGTAGGTAGGACTGCAATGAGAAAATAAATAAGTATGTGTATGATCAATACTAAATACAAATTTAAGGCTCTGATTTTGCACACGTTTGTGTGGTAATGTATATATGAGGAATTCGATCAGGTACCTTTAAATCCGGCGCATTCTTCCATTGTGATACTTATAGTAGTGGAAAAACGATAAATAGTTGGACTAAAAACACATGTCGTCCGGCTTGTTGGGACTCCGGGTGTCGTGTTTACACACACGCATTGTGGTCGTTATCACGTACTATCACTTGTCGATATCGTGGGGGTTACAGTGTAAACAATAGATAGGCGCGAAACTAATAGACACGCAATTACTGGTCACACTGGGCGCGTCGCCGGCTTACGCGGGCTCCGCAGTGTCGCACGGCCGCTGTTATATAGGTTCATTCATTATTTTTTTAATATTAACTAAAAATATTATTATTGTTGAATATCCCGCGGCCGGTATGATAATCGTATTCACCGCTGCGTCATTTATACTCAAACGTTTTATCAAAATCATCGGCAACTCGAACGAGGTACGCGGGAACAGCAATGATGATAATAATAGTTGTGTGCGAGATAAGATGCTATAAATTTACAAGGCGAAACCAGAGCAACATAAACACAATATTGAGTAATATACTCTTTATATAACTTTTAATATATTGAGAGGACCAGTGGCGTATACAAGGTGTCAAGAAGGGCGTACCCAAAAAACCAGGGGGTCGGGCCCAGACCCCCCCCATTGAAATGTCTACATGCTCAACGATTAATAAGTAAATAGTATAATTTGGCACGGATCTAGAGGGTTCTCCTACTTCTAATGGTGGTTAGAAAGGGCCCCTTTAACAAATTATTCGTAAGGTATGCTGGATTAAAAACAGCAAATACAGTAATTCGCCAGGGGCACCACCAGACCTCAATACGGACCTGAATGTAGTATACAGAATACAATTATACCTTAACCTAAACATCCTTCATAAAAAAATCCTAGATCCGCCCCTGAGTATAATAATAGTATATTGTGTATTTTAATTTCTCATTATCTTCAATATACAAAGTTTATAGATTATAAAATATACCTATTATGCATAAACCATACTATAGTATATTAACAGTAATTTATTGGTATTGAGTTAAACTATAATTATAATTAGAGAACAGATAAAATAAAAATGTTGTACTCCCCTATAAAAAATTCCCGGGTACGCCGCTGCAAGGAGGGGAGAACAGATCCCCCTAGGTCTTTTTTTTAATGTTATAAAATAATGCTTTTAATGTGAGAACGTTAGAAACGTAAAAAAAAAATAATGATTTGTTTGCAAATGATCCCCCTCCCCATACAAAAGTTATGTATACGACACTGAAGAAGACCATTAATGACCGGTTATATAATGTTTAAAAAAATTTTTGTAAAGTAAAATATATTATATATTTATATTTGTAAATTACAAATTATGTTTTTATTATATATTGTACGATTAAAAATGTACTTTGAGATATAATGGTCGAAATTAAAAATTAAACAATACTACATTTTCTTTAAACGTCTAAGCCGGAACATATGATGTCCTGAAAACATTTTTCGGGACACCGGGACGTAAAGTCCAAAACCGGTGACAATTCCAGTTTTCCGGGACGTATGACAACCCTAGAGCGAGAAAATGACGAGAAAATCGAGAAAAACAAACGTTCGCACGAAAACGAAAGTGTACCGCGGTAAATATGAGCGCGCTTAGGTTATTATTATTTTTTTTTTTGATTTTACACGATTATCATCGCATTGTATATTTATACACCACCAAGGGCGCCCAAAAGATTCGGTGCGTGGGAGGGGGGAGAGAGGAGACGGCGGATCACGTGCAGTACGAAGTAATGTGGAACGAACGGACGTCATGATACAACGAATCGTATCGTACCCGGTAAACGGGGACGACGATAACCGACTCGTAGAAAAGAGATCGCTCGACTGAAAAAAAAAAAATACAATTACTATCGCGTTCAATAACGGAAATGTCGTCGTCGTACGTGTTGCAGCGCACGAGAGCGACTATCTAGCGGTCCCGATAAACGTTCGAGTGAAATACTTTGCCGCTTACCGGTCCTAGCCCGGGTTAGGATAATTTTAGGGGCCTATATTCATAAATAATAACCAGGGATAGGATTCATATGCATTTGCATGTTTTTTTTCCATGAGTTCAAACTGACTGGTTTTCAGAATGTCCACATGACCTATTTTCGATTAAATGGAACAATTTTTTTTTTTTGCATATTTTGAACATAATGCGTGTAATTTCATGTTTATAGATTTTTGTGAATCTTGTTAATTTTTAAACTTAGTACAGAATGTATTTAATTTAATTAGTACGATTTATAAAGCGCCTCGAGCACTCCCCCGCGTTCCATGTCACTGTAAATCAAAAACATTTGCAAACATGACAATTTACTATTACAGAATAGTACTGATACGAAAATAAAACGCTGAAAACGTGTTTCTCGTAATGTTAACATCGTGAATGTACCGACGGTACAATCCGAACGTTGACTACGTGCTATGTTGGGGGGCATGTGCGTTCGCCGTGTAGCCCCCCCCCCCCTCCAATATTTGACCGTTAGTCGCACCGCGGACGATATCGCATCACGTGTGCACACACGTAAATCTGAGCAGTGTTTCAGGGTTTTCTTGAGTAGGGCAGTCGGAGCGCTCTTATTGAATCGGCGGTTCGTTTTACGGTAGTGGACACCAATCAGTCGGACCAAGTAAAACCAGTACGAAAACACGACGGTTTGTACTGCGCACGTAATTTTGCCCGTACGGTGTCGTCATTCACTCGTTTTTCCGATTCGCGACACGTCGACGGCTTTTCGAAAGACGATACGCCGGAATGGAATGGACTATGGACGGCGGAAAATGCACGGGTTGACCCCCCCTTCCCTTCCCTTCCATCGGTTCAAATGACGGCACTGCGTCAAGGATGAAGCGCTGCCGCGGCGGTAATTCGACGCGACGTAATATATTAATATAATAATCCGTACGTATGATAGCGATTACGTGCGCGCCGTAGATACGATTAATCCGGACGGCAGAGGGGCGTGTCCCCCTTTTGCCCGCCTAACCGACGTCAGTGAGATGCATGCGGTGTACGTACAAAAAAGTTAACGCGCGATGATGAATGGGGAACGTTACTGCACGCCGCGACAGTCGCTACTGTTGCAGCGGGTGACGCACGCAATTGTATGGTAACGATATACGCGCTCGAGGTGATGATCGAACCGCTAGTGGGAGACCTAAAATTAGAACCGACGACCACCCCGTAGGTAAAATAATAATAAAAAAAAAAATTCGAAAAATTCGAGTCGTTACCGCAGACCGGTACCGGTTGATTGGCGCGGAAATGGAAATCGATGGGAAAAGAACACGAAAACGAAAATCGTACCTACTCCGATCAAGTCCCGGTGGCGTCACAACAAATGTGTCGAGCGGACGCATTTCACGACCGTTTCGCGCGTTTACCGTACAACAATATACGATAGAATCTATCTATCTGATCTATCGGATAGATCCATTCGCGCGGTGCGTGTTCGAAGTCCGTACGCGCGGGTACCGCTGCCACGCGAGCCCGTGGTCAGAACATTTCCGTTTGGGGACCCAATAATGTTGGGTCTTTGTATAATTTTCCTATTTGTTTCTCCTACGAGAAATTTGTAGAGAGCAATATCCGGCACTGGTTCCCATATAATATTATATACCACTCTATTATATCTACTATGAATTGACATTAAAAAAAAAATTACTTGGACCTTAAGCCGGGTTTACACGACGCGAATCTGATGCGCGAGTCAAGATTCGACATGTTTCGCCCCGTCTGTACTTGCCTTGGGTAATAAACGAGTCAAGTGAGGATGCCTCGTGGCGAGTGGAAGGTTTGTCGGTACTTGGACGCGCGTCAAAGGAGATTCGCACAATTGTTTCGCGCCGTGTGAACTGCCTCTTTGAGCGTATTGCCGTCATCGTTACATCGTATAAATTGTGGCTCGCCCTGAATCACATTGTTTCGCCCATAGTTACGTATCGTGTAAACATTTAGGTAAATCAGATGCTTCGCGAATCTTGCCTCGCGCATAGGAAATTAAAATTAAAGTAGTCGAAATAAATTGTTTCTATTTGCAAGAGTTCAACGGCGATCCAATATAAACAAAGTTAGATAGATATTATCTAGTAAATATTAAACAAATAGATATATATTTGGTTATTATTACGTTAAATAAATATAATCAAATATGTTTGGTAACATGATTTTTATAATATCGTTTTTAAACTATAATAAATATTATAATAAATTTATAATAAATACATTTTAACGCATTTTTATAATTTTTAAAGCATTTTTACAATTTTTTTATAGCATTTTTAGAGCATTTTTGATAACATTAAAATCCCAACCCTAGTCATCACATTAGATATAATTTATGTGTATAAGCTATAGCATGTTTTTAATGCTTGATAAAAAAAAAATTGTACATAAGTTTGGGGATTCAGATTAAATTTAAGAGGGCCCACTCAGGAAATCCCCTGGCTACGTGCCTAGCTGTACGTATTACGATTCGGGCCACGATCTTGATTTTTTGGATCGCATTATTTCGAATAGCAATGAACATGATGTTATTACCGTTATCATTGTCGTGGCAATTATTATTTTTTCTTTTCTCCGAATACCGCACGATATTGAATTTAAAATTCGTTCTTTTGCATACATATTCATACAAACACACACACACACACACACACACACACACACACATCGTATTTAGGGTCGTCATTCGTCCCGATATATTGGGATTGTCACCGTTATCGAGGCTTTTTGTCCCGACGTCCCGACAAACGACCAAAATGTCTCGATTGAAACTGCTCATTGCAAAATTCGCAAATTTTGCTTCATTGAATACGAATATAAGATCAAAAATAAAAAATCAAATTTTTAAACTTGTATGACTAAAGGTATGGGTAAGAGTTTTTTCATTAATGAGACGACCTAGTGAATTGATAAATTAAGTACACTGCTCTCAGAGTCGATTTTGCAGTGTCGAGTTAATTATAACATGACCTGTGCAGAGTTCTACAAATGTGTAAAAGAGAATAAAGAACTTTTAAAAAAAAGCAAAATTTTCCGAAAAGTATGGCCATTCGCGTACTCTGCGATAAATTACATTTTTTTTTTTTATATATAACCTAAATAAATAAACAAATATTTGATCTAAAACAAAGAATTTTTATTAGAAAATTGAGTATTCCTATACACTCCATCCTAGAATTATTAGAACGTCCCAACAGGACCCTGGCCAAATATGGTAACCCTA